GTGTGCGTGTGTGTGTATGAGAGAGAGAGAGAGAGAGAGAGAGAGAGAGAGAGAGAGTTAATCAGTGTACACAGTATGTGTGTGTAATCTGCATGTATTGTTTTTGCACATGTGGTCATCTTCATGATGGAAGATATTGGGGATACAATTATTTTAGAACAGCAAACTTCGCAGAGCTAAAAGCTGTGTAAGCTATTGCACCTCGGGTGTTAAAAATAGGTTAACAGACAAATTATTAGTATTTAGGAGAGTCACAGCATGGCTTGTTTTCGTCTTTTTCAGAAGCTGAAAGGACAAAGATGATCATGGCTTTGTAATTCTGTGGGGAAATTAATTTTGGTAAAGGCAGTAGAGCCTTGATCAGTTCATTAACTTTTTAACAAATGGCTATTGAAGCACTGCAGACAGCTGTGCAACCTTGAACAACAAGCAATCTGTGTGGACTGAAGCCAAAACCCAAGTTTTTTCCCCTCAAACAACTAAACATTGTTTTAAGAGTGAGCAAGCTGCTGAAGTTCTGCTTATATTTGTATTATTTGTAATTATTGGATATTATATGCCTGTTTTCTTTGTATGTATCTTATAATTCAAGTATTTAGAGGTGTTATTATTATTATTATTGTTTATATGCTATTGTTGGTCACTCTGAAGCAACGTCATTAGGTGTTGTTGAGTTATCCATTAGAGATGTATGTTTATTCTGTGCTATTACATTGTCTGGCTTATCTCTACTGTAAAAAAAAATTACATTTCATTATTCTGTTCATTACTGTTACCATACACTGTCAAATGACTGTCAATGCTGTTACAATCCCTTTCTCACCAACAGAGGGTGATAAAGTGACAGTGGGACAGTAAATCTTGATTTCGTGGCCCTTTAGGAAGACCAGTGGGACCACTCTGCTGTCTTGGCCGACCACTAGGATGCAACAGACATGCATGCACACATACAGAACAGTCCACAGACACTATGATGGTCAGACACACACGTGAGCACACCTGATTGATTTTATTGGTATTGTTTAATGACCATAAAATACGACATCTGCCGTGTGATATTGGCCTAGAAAGGGAAGCTTTTTATATTCAGACACTTCATTCATCTTTCAATCATACCCATCCTGACCAGTTCTTCTGCTCCATCTATTTCCTCTCTCAACACGCGCCACCTCTTTTCTCACTTTTTTACCACTCCAAAATCCATTTCTCATTCTGACTTCGTGCCCCAAACCCTTACTCTTTCTCTGTTTTCTCGTGCTTCTTTCCATTATTTTTTTCTCCCCTTCTCTCCTAGCCTCTGCTTTTTCTTTTTAATCCGTCTCATCTTTTCTTTCACGCACCTTCTCTCTTCATTTCCACTTTTATAATGTTTAGACCGTTTTGTCTCTCTCTTTGTATCTTGCTATCTCGCTCGCTCTCTTTGCCACTCTCTGCTGCCATCCCTCACTGTTTTCCTAAAGGATTCGCACTGAAATTGAGGGAAAACATCCAAGCGTGAAATAGTCCAGAGAGGGTTCTGAACGCTCACTTGTTATTTCATTTCCAGGATGAAACAAGGGCATTAATACTTAAAAACCCTGTCTGTCCTGACGGCTCACTGAGACAGCGATGCCTCCATCCTTCCCCGGCCTTTACTTCCTTTCCTGTCTTGCTTGCTGGATCTTTTCCATACTTAGCTAATTCACTCTCTCACTCACTCACTCACAAAACCATTCACTCTTGTTCCATGCGTATGACATGTTAATCAAGTGCTTATTAGATAAATGTGCACCCTAATCACAACATCCGTATCTTTTTTTCCCCCTTGGCTTTCCCTTGGCCCTTTCACGATTACTCTCAGTTTATTTTGGGTGTGTTCCCTCTCAATGCTCACCCCTCCACCTATCTTTGGGGGCCCAAGGGCATGTGGGTGCTACTGTTTAGGGGATAATTATGCCACTAATGACCCCAGAAGAGTCAACAAATGGAAGATAATGCATTAAAATTTATGGAAATCCTTAATTAGCTTAATGGATGCTGAATGAGGCGGTAAACCAAGAGGCACTCATTAATGACAGCAAATTTAAGCGAGAAAAAAAAGGCCAAGAAAATATAGACAAAAGAAAATAAGAAAAGTGATTATTTCTAAATATCTTCCAAGGGACTAGACAGAATCATGTGGAGTAAAGGAAAACCAAAATAGGAAGAGAGAGTGGAGACAAAAGTAAAGGGAAAAGTGGGAGGTCTGCCAAAGAAATAAAAAGAGTGGGGGGAAGAGAATGAGGGAGAGACAAACTGACAGAAACAAATTAAGAGACAGATAGTGATGAGATTTGGAGAAATAAATGTTGTTTATTCCAGAGCCAAGCACAATTAACTATGGCACTGCCGGGCATAGCGGATGCTTCGGCATGCTGATTAGTCCAATGAGAGATGAGCGTTTCCTAGTGCCACCAGGAGAGAAGCAGGCAAACATATTATCACAAGGATAGATAAACAGAGGGCACAGAGCTTAGGGAAATAATGTGTGTGTTAGTGTGCGTCTGTGTGGGAAAGCAAAATGAGAGTAGAAGGCTCTGCCAGTTGCCTTGATACATTCGTTGTGCCCAACCTGAGAGGAATATAACACTCTTTTTGCTTTCTTCCACAATGTGCCTCATTCTTTCTCTGTTTCTCCTAATCTTCCCTATCTTCATCAGTGGAATCACACACACACATAAACACACACACACACACACCACAACTAATAGATCAAATTGAGGAGACACGGACAAT